CACACACACACCTCACACACACACGCACATGCACACACACATACGCACACACATGCATACACAAACATGCACACCATCACACACCACAAACACACACACACACCATCACACACCTCACTCTCACACACACACACACACACACACACACACACACACACACACACACAAAAGCGTGCACACACACCTGGGGTGATGGCAGCAGCTCCAATCATCATTCCAACATGTGGCCGACCAGGAATCTGTCTTGTTCTTACCACCTGCCAGCAACGTATATTGGAGGGCTGTCTTGAACTGTGTGGCCGTGTTATCAGCACACATGGAAATGGACAGTCAGAAAGTGGCCCAGACTCTCCTTGGCCATTAAGTCCTGAGGTGGCACTCACAAACCTGACTCTTCTGGCTCAAAGGCAGGAAATCCATGCACCTTGTGTCATGACCTTGAGAGCAGAGGGACGGCGCTCCATCTGTTTCAGACAAACAGTCGGTCAGACACGAGGGGGTGGTATAGGGGCAACTTTCTGAGTGTTCGCACCTGACAGTTACCCGCACGGCCAACTCAGAAACTTGTAAGCATGACGGGCCACTTTCTGACCATGAGTTTTGAATGGACAGAAAATCAAACACAGAGTACGTTCACATTTTCGACTGTCAGCCTGGGAGGGCAAAGTTGGAAGATTAGCTACTAGAGTTCCGAAGGGACAAAGTATATTTTCAGCAAAGTAGCTTAGGCTGATTGCTTTGTGCTGCTTGAGCAGATTGGAAATTAGCGCATGGAGTTTAATACCTTGTAATTGATGTATGAGCAGCTTAGTGCCAGCACTCTCCTGTGGCTCGGAGAAATGCAGCTTCAATTAACCTGTCCTGAAGCTTGGGCATGTAGTAAGTGCTGACAGTTTCGTATCTTACTGGGGGAGCCCTATTACAGCTGCTGGTTTTTATTGTAACATTAAAGGCCTTTTCAAACTGATGTTAAACATCCCACAGGACCATTCAAGGAAGAGCAGGGGATTTCCCCTAGTGTTATTTAAGCAACGCATCTAAAATAGATTACACAGTTATTTCCTCGCTGCTCTAGGTGCATTGTGATGCTATTTGCTGCTACAGTAATTCCCTTTTAGAACAGTGACCACACCTCAAATGCATTTCTTTGGTTGAGAAGTGCATTGGGCATCCAGAGGATGTGAACTGCGCTACACAAATGCAAATATGTTCTTTCAAAGCCAGTGTGCCTGACTGAAGGTAGATACATCAGCAAATTCACTACACAAGCAGCTGAGTCTAAAAGGCAGGCACACGCTGTGTACAGAGAATACATCAGTATACCTGTCTCAGCTGCACAGAGTCAGGACAAAATGCACATATCATTTCACTAAACTGCGGCAATGACCTGGGAAACTAGAAAACAGAGCAACATGCAGGACACACAGAGAGCAACATGCAGGACAGGGGGAGGAACACGCAGGACACATGGACAGCAACACACAGGACACAGGGAGAGGAACACACAGGTCACACACAGAGGAACACGCAGGACACACACAGAGCAACACGCAGGACACATAGAGGAACATGCAGGACACACACAGAGGAACACGCAGGACACGGAGAGGAACACACAGAACACACACAGAGGAACATGCAGGACACAGAGAGGAACACGCAGGACAGATACAAAGCAACACACAGGACACAGGCAGAGCAACACACAGGACACAGACAGAGGAACATGCAGAACACACGGAGAGGAAAGCGCAGGACACACAGAGAGAAACGCGCTGGACATGCACATAGCAACACTCAGGACACACAGAGCAACACACAGGACACAGAGTAACACGCAGAAGATGCACAGAGCAACACACAGGACACACAGAGCAACACAGGATACGGAAAGCAAACGGGACTTTGGGTGAACACTGGAAGTGCTTTTAGCTACATTAATTGTTCCTGTACGTTTATGTTACTTCTGATTGCTGAGAAATTTCAGGACTGAATTTGCAGCTGTTATTCAAGGTGCACTGCATGTGGGCTCAGCTTTGTAATGTGCCCTGACATCACCCTGTTTTAAATAAGAAGCAAGTTTATCCAACTGAAATATAGGCATATGGCATACCCCAAACCAACATTAATATCATTTCTATTATATCATTGGGAGCTTGCTGTGTACAAAGTGGCTCCTCATGTCCTACATTACAACAGCTTCTACATTTAAGTCCTTTGTGTACATCCTGTCAAACATTTCGAGACATCCTAAAGGTGCTCTACAAATGCA